ATAAACCACTCAGAAAACCAGAAGTGGGGCTGTAGCTCAAGTGATAGAGTGCTCACCTTGAGCTGAAGAGCTGAGGGACAGCGCCCAGGCCCAGAATTCAAGCTCCATGACTGACCAAAAAAAATAAAAAAAAAAGAAAGAAAAAAGAAAAGGAAAAAGAAAAAGAAAGGACATATGCTTTCTCTTATGGGGATCTTAGACCTGAAAACATAAACATGTGGAAACATATGTAAGATCATATGCATATATAAATGATTCAAATAAATAACTGAGTGAGATTCTATGCTATAATCCCATTGAAAAACTGAAAGACAGTTTAATAAAGTGAGTATTAGAAAACTGAAATATGTATTGACTTGGAGCAAGGGAGGGGCAGAGGATAAATAAAGAGAAGAATGGTGGGCAAAGTAGTAAGACTTAATGTATATTTGTGAAGGTGGAACAAGGAAATCTGGTGAAATTGGTTGGGGCAATGTAGGAGGGAAGGAAAAATGATGGAAGGGATCATTCTAATCAAAATGCATTTATACATATAAATGGACATGTTAAGGTGCAACCCCCTTATTGTTACTTGAAAAATAAAAATAAACATGTATTCTCTACAAACTTAATGGGAAAAATATGTTCCTATGCTATTACTCTGATTCAATCAAATTGTTGATGTTCAAGTATATAGAAAAATGGCACCGAGAAATAACTCTTTCTCAATTTTAAATTCAGAGTATCTCATGTAAAGAAATCCAGCAGAAATGGCCTCTCAACTTACCTCTACAATAAAAGCTTTCCGCTCGGATTCACTTTCTATTTGTTTAATAGCAACATCTTTTGCTCTCCACTTAGCTTTGCAAACTACCCCAAAGGCTCCTCTTCCAACAACCTGCATTAAAAGAAAAACCCACAAGAATTATCAGAAGCAAATAGATTCAGTCCAGTGTACAAAACTAAAGCTAAAAGTCTTATTATTAAATACACTAAACTGAGGAGACAAACATACTTTTTTAAAAAAAAGTTTATGGCATAGATACCTTTTTCTTCACAAGTACAACTAAAAACAAAAAAGACAAATCAAGGCATAAGCAAAGCAATTCATCAATTGCAGAAAAATATTTAAAAAGAAACGATAATTGGGTCAGAAGCTAATTCAGAAAAATATAAAGCAAGAATAAATGATAAATATAAAAATTCTAAGCTATTATAGGTAAAGTTAAATTAAAAACAGCTTTCAGTAACGATAGTGTTAGAGAACTGAGTGGAGGGAATAAAACAATAGCTAATAAAAGAGAGCATGATGAATGAAAGACAAAATATACTATCTCTTATCTATACAATGGAATATTGTTATTATTGGTGTGTGTGTGTGTGTGTGTGTGTGTATGCTGGTACTGGGGCTTGAACTCAGGGCCTGAACACTACACCATAACATGTGCACTTAAGGCTGATGTTCTACCACTTAAGCCATAGTGCCATTTCTGGTTTTTGGACATTAAGTGGAGACTTTCCTGCCTGGCTTTAAACTGTGATCCTCAGATCTCAGCCTCCTGAGTAGCTAGGGTTACAGACTGGCATAAGCCAATGGCATCTTTTTTTTTTTCTTTCAGGTAATGGAGGCTTAAACTCAGGACCTGGGTTCTGTCCCTGAGCTTTTGTGCTCAAGACTGGCATTGTACCACTTGAGCCACAGTACCACTTCCAGCTTTTTTGGTAGTTACTTTTTTGTTGGTGGTGGGGCTTGAACTCTGGGCTTGGGTGCTGTATCTGCACTCTTTGGCTCAAGTCGAGTGCTCTACCACTTGAGCCACAGTGCCAATTCTGGTTTTCTGGTAATTTTATTAGAGATAAGAGTCTCACGGACTTTCCTGCCTAGGCTGGCTTTGAACCGTGATCCTCAGATCCTGAGTAGCTAGGATTACAGGCATGAGCTACCAGTGCCCAGCTTGGTAGTTACTTTTATATTAGAGTTTTACAGACATTCCTGTCCAGGCTGGCTTCAAACCATAATCCTTATATCTGAGACTCCTGAGGAGCTAGGATTCTAGGAGTGAGTCACTAATTCTTGGTTTTATTTTTATAACTTATTGAGAACTTAAGTTTTGGGAGATCATGAAATTAATCCATCTGATGTACATAGTTTAGTAACTTGCAAACATACACAGCAGCCAGTTATCAAAGTGATAGGTTTTTAAAATTTTAATTTGATTGTAAAAGTGATGTACAGAGGGGTTACAGTTATATAGGTAAGGTAGTGAGTACATTTCTTGACAGTGTTCTGCCTCCTCATTTTCTCCCACTTCCTCCTCCCCAAATTGTAAAGTTCATTTTCAACATAGTGTCTTGTGAGTATTGCTGTTGCATTGGTTCACCCTTTGTTCTTTGTCTTACTATTTTGTTATTCGTCTTTTCTTCCCCAAATCAGATAAATGTATATACAAGATACAGGATACCAAAATAAAAAAACAGTGACAACAGGGGATAAACCAAAGGAAAAATGAGAGAAAGAAGAAATAATTCCATATAGTACATTAAAAACAACAACAACAAAAACCCTTTAGTTTTCATATCTTCTTGCCTTGACAGGATGCCTACTACACATTTACACTAATATCAATTTTCACCATCGGCACTTGCCTACCACCAGTCTACTCTGTTTTTCTATAGATATTTTTTTTCCCTAGACATTTTGTATCAATGAATCTCTAGTGTCTCGTTGCTTTCATTTACTCTATTTTTTAAGTTCATCATGTTTTTGTATGTATTAGTAGGTTTTTTTTTTTATTTGTTGCTGTTACTTTCTTATGTTGATGCTAGGAATTGAACCCAGGACTTAGTGCATGCAAGGCAAGTGCTATACCACTGAGTTTTGACTCTAGTGTAGTAGAGTCATAGTAGTAGTAGTAGCAGTAGTAGTAGTAAAAAGCTTCCCTTGAGAAGCTTTCACTTTAGACAAACCCACACAAAACTCATCAATAATAAAGCTGGCTATTGCTAGAGTGAATGGCTTATTATCTATATTGAGTTACTTCATAGAGTAAAAATGGGGCATGAAGGAACACACCAGGACAGTAATTATAATCTGGGATACATGAACACTCTAGTTATGACTCAAAAAACTACTTCATAAATCATACAAAGTAATATGAACATTTCTCATATTGTTCAATGTGTAAAGTTACCCAAATTATTAAAATTTATTGAATGTTATGTGCCATGTAGTATTTCATGGGCTTTTTGTAAATTACTATATTTACCCCTCTTCCATTTTAAAGGTCAGTAAAAAGCAAGTAAGGCTCTGAGTTCAGTAAACTCATCTCTAATTAACCACCAAAAAGCTGGAAGCAGAGTTGTGGAACAGTACCCAGACCCTTGAATTCAAGCCCTAGGACCAGCATGAAATAAATATAAATAAATAGATATCAGTCTTATACTATTGTTGAAGCCTATGTGTATCACCTAGGTTCGCTGTTCTGTCAAACTGTTTTATTTCTAGAAATGCTTAAAACAATAGAGCCAAACAAAAAATTAGCTTGATACCTGTTAGAACAAATTCATTAGATTTTTATCACTGTATAGAATAAAGTACCATCTTTTTCCATCTCTCACCTTTCAATTTATATAAGCCCTGTATCAAGGCCTTTATCTCCCTATATTATACTTTTATATGTATCTTCTATGTAGTAGGCACTGGGCTAAGTGCTTTACATTTACAGCGTTAGAAGGCAGGTGTTAATGCTATAATCATTTTACAGCTGAACCAACTACCTTTAAAGAAGTAAACTAACTTTCATGAGTACAGAGCTAGCAAATGATAGAGTATAGTTTAATGTTAGGCAATTTAAAACAGAATGTTAGTAATTCTAATTTATAATACATATCATAAATGTGCTTTTTACATCAGGAAACAGTTATGTCTTCCCTTGAGAAGCTTTCACTTTAGACAAACCCACACAAAACTCATCAATAATAAAACTCATCAATAAATACAGCTAGACTGAATGACTTATTATCTATATTGAGTTACTTCATAGAATAAAAAGGGAGCACAAAGGAACACACCAGTACAAGTAATTATAATCTGGGATACATGAACACTCTAGTCATGACTCAAAAACTACTTCATAAATCATAAAAAGTAGTATGAACATTTCTCATATTGTTCAATGTGTAAAGCTACCAAATTATTACAATTTATTGAATGTTATGTGCCATGTAGTATTTTACGGGCTTTTTGTAAATTACTATATTTCCCCCTCTTCCATTTTAAAGGTCAGTAAAAAGCATGTAAGGCTCTAAGTTCAAATCCCACTACTGTCAAAAGTATTGGCAATGCAACAAAATAAAGATAAGCAACTTACCCAAGATCACTTGGTCAGAAAGTATTCAGAGAATACAAAATCCAAAATCTGAAACTTAGAGCATGGAATTACCAATGAACTCTAAATTCAACTTCTGTCATTGCATTAACAGTCACTTTGGTATGAAGTCACCAGTTACCATGAGAATAACATATGGAACATTCCCTGCTTCGACATGACTTTGGATATAGCTTATCTACTTATTAGCTCTTAATACTGAGTAGTTAATGTCTTTGAGATTTTTTTTTTCAAAGTAAAACAGAGATGCCTATGTTCTCCTTAGTTATTATCTACAGGGTTCATAAGTTATAAACAGGAATTTCTGTAAATACTATAAAAGTGCTCAGAGTTGGGTATGACTCAGAATAAGGAGCTGTAGTACTGATTTCTCTTGTAAGAAATTAATAATAGATTCTAAAACTTAACTTTATGCTCACATTTGGCTGAGACTAGCCTACCTATTGTTATCATCACTAACTACAAGCCAATGATTACAAAGAATTTAATATATTCTTCAGCTATGTGGAACTTTATTAAAGCAACTGGTACTTAGTAAGCCTCCTTTTGCTGCATTTTTATTATGAAAAATGTCTACACAGGCATTTCAGATATTGTCTACCTGTGGTCTGTGTATGAGTCACATTTGGTACATATGACTACTTGTGATCCACAAGTGCCACCTAGTGATGAGATGATGACTTACTCTAAGCTTTCAACTTAAAACCATGAGAATAAAACATGTAACTGTCCAGAATGCTCTGAAATAAAAAACTGGTACATCAAGACACCTCTAGATACCTCTATTGTCATTAGTGATAGCACTTTACACACAGTATAATAACAGGATCTAAAATGACAATAAGGCAAAATGTCCTAGATAGTACACATTCACTAAAATATATGATAGAAATAACAACTATAAATGAAATAAGTTTATGAGCACAGGCCCCAATGCTTAGGAATTAAATTTCAGTATAACAAAAATGACTTCTCAGTGGGTATCAGTGGCTTACGTCTATAATACTAGCCACAAGAGCCTGAGATCTGAGGATTCAAAGCCAGTCCAGACAACAAAGTCCATGAGACCCCAATCTCCAATTAACCACCAGAAAACTGGAAGTGGCATTGTGGTTCAAAGTGGTAGAAAGCTAGCCTTGAGCAAAAGAACTCAGGGACAGCACCCAGACCCTCAGTTCAAGACTGACAAAAAAAAAAAAAAGACTGCTCACTTTTTCAAATGGCATAAATACAGAGAGATCAAGGGTAAAATACAAAAAAAAAAACTTTTTACCTCTTTACCTTTATCATCTTTATAATAATAAAAAAATTTAATAAAGAATCAAAGAACTGTCCCTTACCTGTATGTTGTAAGAAGTAAGGTTAAGAAGTTTAAGACTAACATGGGCAGCCCATAATCCCAGTCCATCTGACAGTGCTGCACGCATCCAGGGCAGGTCTCCTCCCCAACCTCCCTCAGTCCTCTCTGGAAATGCCCTTATAGACACGCCCAGGTGTGTCTTAATAATCT